TGTGATGTAATGATCAGAAAATCAACAGAAACAAAACAAAGTCCAAACTCACATTAGTGTGCTCTGCTCTACTAGTTCCAACCTCCTCTGCTTATGACCTTAAATAATAAATAGAGATGAGTGTAAATTAGACCAGGTGTTAGATGGGAAGCATTTCATGATCTTCCGTGGGAAAAGCACTTATGATGAGTTTTCTCTTGCCCCTGAATGAAAAGCCAGCTTTGGTGAGCTCAGGAGCTGCACTAATTTGTCATTCCAGCATAATGCTCGAGAGGTAGCAAGCAGGAACCAGGGACTGTTGTAGCCCAGCTGACCACAAGGAAACTCCCATGGTATAGACCAGGGTACGTTTTTAACCACGGGGTTTTTCCTAGAACCCTCCCCAGTAATGTAGCAATATGAAACCCATTACGAGTTCTTTGAGCAACAGTAGATTGTCTTCTTGCTGTTGCCCAAAGGGCCACCTGTGTGAAAAAAGGACATTGCTCTCTGTCAAAATTAACCACAGGCCCTCCTCTGGCCCCTGTAAGTCTGATTTTTTGCGTGTATATTAACATTTGAATGAAACAGGAAATCTATATTTGATAATGCAAGAGATTGCCATCAGTTTTTGAAAGAGGAGCTTTTAGAATTTATGTACTCCTTATCCTGACATAACTTTTTTTTTCCTCTAATCTAATGGCTTATCTATACAGAAAGTGGAAACCAGTTTACTTCCTATGCAGATGCTGCTTTGCCCAAACTTTCAAATCAGTACATATGTTTTAGAGACATGAAAATATTTTTTTTACTTAGCCTCCCAGATAAGATTTTATTCATTAACAAAATCTTCCTTTTAGTCCCTCCAACGGTAGATGAAAGGGAAATTGGATTTCTGAAGAATTAATATTGGTTAACATGGATATAATTCCTTGCCTACTCAATGAGCCAATCTGCCAATATTTCTATTGATGTTTCATCATGACTGTTTCATCTATTTCTTGAGAACATAAGAGAATCTGTGAAATGCCAGTTTGTTATACACATTCAGATAGTTTTTATTTTCTTGCTCTTTTTTAACTTGACAAAACAGTTGCAGCTGTGTCAGTCTATCAATTTGACATTGCTTCTCCAATGAAATATAGTCTAAGTTTTGGACATCTTTTGGCAAGAGTGGTGACTTTGGTCCAGACAGGCAACAGACCTAGCTGTAAATAGCAAACTCAGTTCAGTCACCAAGTGATGGAGTTGCTCCTCTTATATTTGAAATTATGTGGTTATGGTATCAAAATTCTCTAATTACTTTAGATAATTTAAGAAAATAAAAAAGCTGAACAAAAACCTGCAAAAAAAATTAATGGTTAATACCAATCTGATTTGGGGGAAATGCTTCATTGACTTCACATGTGAAGATTGATTTAATACGAGGAGGACATCCCAGCTGGATGCTCTGGTAGAGTAAGAGCAGCAGCATTTCAATCTGACATCCTCTACCAGCCCCAGTCATATTCAGTGATCAGTGCTCTAAGGAAAGCAAATTATACCTCAAAAGGGAAACTGTATTTTCTCCTGCACTGCAGGCAACCAGCAGACCACCTCAGAATGGGATTCCTATACTGTGTCAGAGAGAAACAGTCAACAAACAGTCCTTTCAGTCCACACCACCCTGTATCTACAACAACAAGCTGTGCAGCCAAGAACTCATATTACAATTTATTTTTAATACCAGGTTTATCCTGATTTCAGGCATAGGGTTCTTTCCAGAGATTATATTAAACTTGCATTTTTTAACCACATAATATGTATAAAGAAATAATTTCTTCTCCCTTTGAGATTTTGTACATTATTTGAGTGACGCATTGTAAAGCCAAAGAAGATGAGCTGAGGACTTTAAAGACCTCTTTTTTGGTTTCTGGAGAATTTTTCTTTTTTTGGAAGAAGGGAAAGGCTGATGGCTTTGGCCTGGGCATTTAAAATAGGATTTTGATCCTGGGGAAGAGTAGTCCCAAAAGAAATCTCCTATAGGCAATCATATACCACATTAGGAATGTTGAAATGTTCTAGATAATCTTTTCCCCCATCTTGATCAAGTAAAACATCATCATTGTGTGTGTGTGCACATTTGTGTGAGAGAAGCTCATTACTTAGTATTAATATGTTTGCAGCATGTGGTGTCTTAATTCCACCTGTCCAAATGAGCATAAAAAAATGGAAGTGTTTTCTATTAGCTATACTTCTTCTCTGATAGAATGAAAAGATGGTATATTTTCTAAAAGACTGAGTTTGACAGAGTAATAAGAAGAGTTTCTGGGTAAATAATGGGTTACAAAGATTTACTGTAAATATGGGATACTATTCTTAAGGAGCAGTTATGAAATTATACACATAATAAAGACTAATTAAATTAGTCTTGTGCTTACTGATGTTTGGAGATCCAGCATGAGTTTTGTGATCAGCTGAAGGACTTGTGCAGCACAGATCAAATCACATATTTTATAGCCTGCTGTTCGGTAGATCCAAATTCGTGGTACTTAATTGTGGTACTTAAAATTACTATGATTTCATCATTGTTCTGAAAGAAAAAATGGTGATGCAAAAAAAGTGCTTTTGTAGTAGTAATGGTGTTAGAAATATTAGAAATATTTAGAAGTAGTGACGATATTGTTGTTCAGGTCCATGTAGAACAAATGGGTATGAAAAAAGGAGTGATCATCTGATGATGATCATCAGAGTGATTCTGAAAAGAATATAAAACATCCTCTCCAATGCTGGAGGTTTTATATTCTCTGCTGAGCAGTGCTCCGTGAATGGTGATTCTGATGGTGTAATTAGGAGCACAGTACAGATTTAGACTCGGTTCTAGTGTGAGTTTATCCAGATGACTGTACCTTTGCTGCAGTACGGTTTTATTTTCAGCCTAATTTTGCTTGTTTGCTTTCAGCTTGGCACAATTAATTAAATAGTCTGGTGAATTTAAAAGAATCAGCAAGTCCAACTGTCAGTTGAAGTGAGCTATCAAATTAATTCCATATGACAACAACAGTTGTGAAAATTTGACCTGATTTGCCTCTGAAGCAGTTTATGCCAGAAATACTTTAATACAGGCACATACCAACCATTTTTATCAAGCCCACATGCAATTTATCCTTTAGTCTTAGTGTAGGAAAAGTATTTGGAATGAATATGAAGATTTGCTCAATAAAGAGTCCAATTTTGGCTGCCAAACCAGCCAGTTCCAGAATCAAATTTTTTGCACTTAGTATAATATATTATCACATTCCTCTATTACTGATATCAGAAATGTTAAGGATAGCCCCTAATTTCCTTCTCTTTTATTAGAAGTAGGGAATATTTGTAATTGTTTTGTATAGGCAGAAACTTGAGGTCATGCATCAACTTGCAGTGAAAGTGCATTAGCTCTTGGGCCAAAATTCTCATTTAAGAGTAAAATGGTTCTAAATTTTTTTTCAAGTGGCATTTCCAAGTTTCTCAGAAAACTTGATTCCTAGTAAGGGAAAACATTTTTTAATGAAGCAGAATGAGTGTCATCATAAAATTGGTACATTTTTTTTCATGGAAGCTAAATTCTTATTAAAAGAAGCTGTTGACTGAAAAATATGAAATTATACCAGAAGTTTTATTTTCATATATTATATGACTTCATAATCCTAGAAAAACAAAGGAAAAAATGTGTTTATACCTTTTTTGAGTCCTTATGGTGAAAGAAAGAAGCAGAGATGGTTTGGCAGATATTTTAGATTGTTTGCTTTAAAGTTGGGTTTTGAGCTTGTTTTTAGCTGGGAACTATAATGAATAAGAAACAGTTGTTTCTCTGTGTCTTTTCCTGGAGGATCCCTTTGTCACAAGAGGACTAGAAAGGAATCTTTCACAAAGATTTTCTCTCAGTTGTGGTATTGCTGATGTCAAGCATGCAAAAAACATGAGTCAGCAGTCCAAAACTCACGGGACTGCATTAAAAAAAAAGTGAATTTTTAAAATATCTACGTGGTTCTCTTGTTTAAGCCTTTGTAGTAAAGTGATGTCACATTTTTATACTTTTTCTGCAAATTAAAATCTTATTTTTCAAAACAAAAGAAGGAAAAAGAAGAAACAGCTGAATTTTCTCAAAAGCTTGGAGGACTCCCAGAAATGGGATTCTAAAGAACATCTGAAGCATTAGAAATATTGCAGTATAATAGTAGGTGTTGGAAATGAGGCATTTGTTTGTAAGAACTTTGATCTAAATTTTGGTGAATAAAAACATTTGGGAAAAAACCCAATTGAAAGAAAAGCAGAGAAACCTTCCTTTGCACTTCAGCAGCTCAGGTTGCTATAGAACCTTTTGTTCTGCAGTCCTCCCAACACAAATCCTGGAGAATAGGCCTCATGTCTTTAAGGTTAAATAAAAGCCATATAAACATCTGATTACCAGACAGAAGATACAGTCAGACAATGACAAATAACTTTGGTTTTGTCAAAAAAGGAATAGGTAAAGTAGTGCAGATACAGCTATTACAAAGATATAAGGCCTTTACCACAGTTTAAAAGACAAAGACTACTTGAATCCAAGAACATGGTTTTTGGCCAGAAAAAGTTACAATTATTTTTAAAAATGTCACCTCATTCACATTCAGTGATCAGAGAAAATGGAAACATTTTAAGGAGTAATTGTAAACATCTGCTAAAGAAGAAACGAAAACATGACTAAGACAGAAATGAGCTGCCAACATAAAGCATTGTGTGAACAAATCCACCGGAAAAACACCAGGTCTGTGGATGGATTCTATCTGGAATGTGAAAAAAAATTGATGATCATAAAAAAGGCTAGAATGTACCTAAAGATATTTTACTCTAAGTCACTCTGGCTCTCTACGCAAATATCGAGGAATGTGGCTGCACTTGCGTTTCTGCAGCAGCTTTGGCCCCTGCTGCTTCTCCTGCCCTGTTCCAAGAGAAGCATTTGCACAGGCACAGGGAATTGGACTCAAACTGATCTAACAATTTTTTTCTTTCCTTTTCAGCTGGATCAGTTAAGAAAAAGTCAGTGGTGGTGCAGATGGTGATGACAGCTCATACAGAAATGCTGCTAGATTTCTAGCCATTGCCTCGAAATACTGATTTCAAACTGCAGTGCTATAATGACAGCCTAAATGAAGGTAAATCAGATCCTTATGGGTTTTAGAAAATGCTCTCTAAGGCATCTATAGATCTGTATCTCAGCACAGCATTTAAATGTGTTGAGCAGCTTGAGGGGTCCAGGGCTGTTTTGTAAGATGTGTTATCTCTGTCATGGAATAACACAACGACAGAGTTAACACAGAGGAGAAAGTAAGAGTGTGAATCACCCAGTTTTCCAGGTATGACTGTGCCGGTTAAAGATGAACAACTCAATGTAGAGATATAATACACTATGTCCTCTGGCACAAGTGAGCATGTGCACGTTTTCTAAAATACAGCAGGTAGCCTGCATTGGCTCCAGTCATCTTTTCCTAATGCCAAACATTACATCTAAAAGCAGCTGTTCTGATTGAAAATGTTTTATCACCATCCTTTGGTAGAAGCTTGTAATTCCTCCAGTTCTACTGGCTGACCAGTTCATTTGAACTATTTCTAATCTATGTCTTTCTGCAATGGAGGGAAATAAAACAGATTACAGGTGGCTGTGGGCTGTGCTGGGCTCGAAGGGCAGTGAGCACAGGTGCCTTGGCCTTGCACTGCCTTCCTGTGCTGCAGCTTTCCCTGCCCAGTCTCTGATCCAACAGCTGATACTTAGCCACCTTCTTTATTTCCCCCTTTTGTTTTGGTTTTTGGCTTTTTGTTTCATTTTTTTTTAACTGAAATAACCTGTGGTTTGTATTAACCACACTGCCATGGGAATGTCTGCCCTTCTTTAGCACAGTGGGGGAACAATACCTGCTGGCAAGGTAGGTGTGATTCTTTGCTTGAGTAGTGATGTTAGTTGGAGTAAAAGGCAAACCATCAATTTAAAAAAAAATTGGCCTACAATCTTAGAGTTGAGCAGAATAGAGAATGTGAATAAGAACTCTTGGGAAGTGGAAGTTTCAAAAGAAGAATCCTAGAGACTTTGTTGATTAGCTCTCATAAAAAACTCTGAAATGATAAGAACATCAGAGTAGTTTGATGGCCATGACCTGTTCTAGTTCATACTCAGGCTGAATTACAGGAGACTGGAACCCTGAAGGAAGACTGTGGAGGGTGGGTGTTATTTAATGTTATGTGTATGATGTGCTCTTAATATGTATGTAGGTGGTGTTTGTGGAAGTTTATCTTTCCTGCTCAATATCTAGAAATGAGCTGTGTGGAGAAATGATGGCTCAATGCAGATTGCCTGCATTTGGGTGACAATTGAGCCTGTGCTCTGTAAATACAGTGTAAATACCAGTTGCTTTAAACTCCTGAGCAATCAGTGCCAAATACTCATGAAAATAATCTTTTTTAAGGAATTTTCTTGGAATATGGCACATGATTTCAGAAGATCTAGGTCAAATCTCTTTGAAGAAAACATTTAATGTGTACTTTCAAACTGCATTTTTTGGCAGTTTGGTAATGGAGAACTGGCCACTGTTTTAGCCTGTGGCCAGGAAGACAGTAAGAGTAGTTATATAATAAATCAGTAAAGAACAAACTTCTGATATCCTCACAATGAGCTGCAAGCAAGCTAATATTTTCAGAGAAAGTTATTTCATTCTTTTTTTATCTGGGTTGAAGAACAAAAAATGAACCCTCTTTCCAAGCTCTGGAATCCCCACTATTAACAGTAGTTGATTTTGCATAAAGATTACAGGTAAAAGTAACATTTTTGCTTGTCTTTATGGAAATTAAAACTTCCAGAGGTGTCATGAGACTAGAAAATTTGTTTAAACTGGGATTATCATCCTGAATACTTGTAGACAATAGGAAAGGAAACAATGTTCAAACCTATCATTATAACTAAGTACCAACCCTCCAGGGTCATGGTGTGCTGCCTTCAATAGAGCCACAGGTCACAAGCCATGGGTTCCATGGTGCTTTCATCCTGGCTTTAGGCTCCTGGTACAGGATCAAAATAGTTTGATGAAATTATAGGACGTATCAAAGTGCTCCAAAGTCACCCTGCTGATCCAAAATTGAAGAGATTTTGGCTTTTTGCTTGAAGGCTTTATGTGTGGCTAGAAACCAACTTTCCAACATCTAATTTTAATTCTTTTAAAGTATTACTCATCATTTTAATCATAGAAGGAAAATCATAGGGCTGTCAAAAATATACATACAGCATGCTCTTGCTGTTTTCATTGTCACTGTAAGCCCATGACTAAGAATTAGTGATCATTCCTAGTGAGGAAGTATTTGGCATTGCAGACCTGCTGGAAACAGTCATGGAACCACAGCTGCCTAAAGATGTCCTTGTTTTCCTTCTGAGTCAATTATACCCATCTACAACTTTGTCCACTACTCTGTCTCCTGCTGAGACATGTATTTACATGTATTATGTATTATTTGATCATAATACATAAAATGCCAGAAACTAGAAAAAGAAGCTTCATAAGTATGAAGGTTAAAATTCTCCCATGGTCTCTGTATTTTAAGTATAACATGTGTCAAACATGACTACAGGCTTTTTTTCCCAACTTACAAATGTTTTCATTGCAGAAGCTGATTTAAAGAAAAAGGAGTAGTTTAATACAAGTTGAATTTGTTGCTATTATTATGTGTTCCTCCATTGTCTCTCCACTTTGGGCACTGCTCTTATCAGATGAAAAACAGAAGAATGTTGGTTTTAATTGCTGATTGTAAATGTGACAACCTGTACTTTCAGCAGTGGTGTTTGTTAGCTTTAGGGAACAGAGTTACAGAGATGTTTGAGGATGAAATAAGTTACTTGTGTTCCTGCATGGACTTCAGTGAGATCCCAGACACTGCCTGAGGGTACAACTCTTTTGGTTCTTGATCATTAAATTTATTTCTGCTTTATAAACCAACTACTTTTGTAAAACCAAAATTGTGTGCATCAGTTTTGTAGTTCAGATATACACTAGCCCAGTTAATATGGAATTGTGCCTGCTGCACAGATATGGACACAGCTGCTCCTAGGGCATTGCCACCTTTTAGACACAGTTTAGGAACTCAGCTCAGTGCAGATTGTACACTGACTTCATGCACAGACACTTTGATGAAAATATATAAGATTAATGAGATGGAATTTTTTTCTTTGGGACATGATGAACTTTTTTCATCATGTAGAAGAGAAACTGAAACCTTCAGCTCTGAAGAGTCAGAAGGATATTAATCTTTGTTACTGGCTCAAAAATCTTGGGAGAAAAAGTGACACCAGTACACATTTTATTTTCAGTACTGCAACACAATTCATGTCTGAAGAGACAGACTTTGGCTTTTCTTTTACTATCTTGGTTCATCTGCACTGGACTGCAGAAAAGTTTAATTCAAGTAAGTGTCATTAACCTGCCTTCCAGCTACCCACTAACTACCACAGCATCCCCTTTATCCTGACAATCTGTTGCCAGTTTTAGTGGGCAGTTTTAGTTCACATGAGGAGAAAGAATTGAGAATTTCTACTCTGAGCTCTTTATGGATGCTAAAATCCTACATGAGACTTAATGTCACCCTGACAGTGAATGTGCAAGTCCATCAGTCAGCACAGGGCTGTGCATGGGACCTCAGCATCTTCCCAAGGATTCTCCAGATGCACATGGGCTCCAGAGGTTTCTGGTGCTATTCAGCTGTAGCATACTCATGGCATGGATATCAATGGCTTGAACTCACCACTCTGGTTTGCTTTACAAAAAACAGATAAAAGAAAATGACATTGCAAAAAAAAACCTGACATCCAGCTGCAGAAAAACTCAAAAAGTGTCCTTAGGTTTGCTTAGGAACAAGACTAAGACTAGAGCTTGTCTGTATTCTGATGCTACTACAGTTGTATGTTTTGGGGTTAATTTTAGTTTGTTTTGGTTCAGTTGTTGTTGGTTTGGGTTTTTTTTTTAACAGTTAAATTTAAGGGGAAATAATTATAAAAGGTCTACATGTTTACTTTTAAACACAGCATTTTTTCCACTCTGCCCCAAGTCTGACATTTTAATGACCTGCTTTGCTTTGGTTTTTACTGGCAGTGTATATTGAAGGAGTATTTTATGTACAGTTTTAACATTTGAACAACACAGCTCCATGTTCAGTTACTCTTTTATATTGTGGATAATGTCTTTTAAGTTTTTAATTCTTTTAAGTGCTTACTAATTTGAGGGAATTTTTGCAAATACCTTTAAAAACTTTTAGATTAATTACCAGTAAGGGTTATTAATTTAAGAAGAGCAAGAAAAGTAAAGGCTGCATATATTTTCACTCAAATTACTATCCTAAATGACTCCATGGGGGGTTTCTTATAGGGGTCACTGAAAGGCAGAAAGGAATGTTTTTACTTCTTTGCTTTGTCACAAAAATTAGGTTACAAGGGCTATAAATGCAGGTAATACTTTTTATTACTAGATTTTCCTCTGTAATGAATATAACATTTCTTCTTTTCCGATACCCTCTGAATGTCTTAGTACTTAGCATGTTTACTCTTACCTTTAACAAGCTCTAAAGTAATTCCTCTTTAAAAGCCTTGCAAGCAAATTTGAAGGCAAGAAAGAAACCCTGTATGGCAGGATCCCTGCTGGAGGTGGAAGATTGGAAGGGGACACTGTCCTGCCAGCTGCCCATGAGCACACCGACAACACCAGTCCTTGGGTAGCTGAGGTAGAGAGAAGTAAAACCTAAGGCTGAAGAAGTCAAAAGTGGGAACCAGAAACACCAGAATTTTTTTCAATGCAAAATACAAAATTGGTCACATATTTTCCTGCTATAAAACCAATTGCTCTGTGCCAGTCTGCCAGAATTCAGATTTCTAGTTCCAAAAGAGACCTGGGCTCAGGATCGCTTTGAGATTTGGGCCGCGTAGTAAAGCTGGGGTGAGCAGCTCCCCTCGCCGGGGCTGTGCTGTGTCCCCAGCGGTGGCCTGGTGTGGCTGGGCTGGCAGGGCTCTCCCATCAGGGGAATCCACCTCCTCCCCAGCTGGGCCCTTCAGGAGGGCATTAATATTCTCTGAAAGGCGGCCACTTATCTGCAGCTCTGTAGGGCCGACCTACTTTGATCTCAGCCT